CTCTCTCTCTCTCTCTCTCTCTCTCTCTCATTTATTTATTTATTTATTTGTTGTTGTTGTTGCTGTTTCAAGACAGGGTTTCTCTGTAGATTTAGAGCCTATCTTGGAACTTGCTTTGTAGACCAGGCTGGCCTTGAACTTACAGAGATCCACCTCTCTCTGCCTCCTGAGTGCTGGGGTTAAAGGCATGTGCCACCACTGCCTGGATCCAACCTCCTTTCTTGATCTTGCTCTCTGATAGCTCTCCCAGATCCAGGCCACTGCCCCTCTCACAGGCATGTCCCCTTATCAAATCCCTGCCCAAGTCAACCACCTTCTGGTTGGAGGTCAGGCTGAGCCTGCAAGAGAGGGAAATTACAAACAAACAAGAAACCCACAGTGCCGGAGGAATGTGCCTGTGCTAAAGGGTATCCTGGTAAGGCGAAGGAATTCCATTCCTTTTTATTTTGTTTCCTTTTGGCAGCTGGGTAGAGGATGTGAACCCCATTTCACACTAATGTTTTAAAATGCATAAAATAAAATATATAGGAGTCTAAAGGAAACCAATTGTATTGCAATAAAGTTATAAAACTATTTTAATGTGATATAGTAATGTATGTGCATTTTATTAATGCTTTAAATAAGATCAAGTGTTAGGTTGATACCTCACATAATTTTAAAACAGTAATGAACATAAATGCTGTTTTAAAGATCTGCAATACTATGGCATGGAAATGTGATCCCCACCCCTCACAAAACTATAACTATGGCTAATATGGCTGGCTTGTTATCCCTTTTGCAGCTGAAGGAAATGGTAAATATCACCATTTTTTCTCCTATGGAGTTCCAAATTCAGGGCACCAGAGTCAGGGTGGAGCCACAAGAGAACAAGACCTGGCTTCCTCACTCAGGCTCCACCCTCTCTTCCTCAGGCCGGTGAGATGAGGTGGGTAGAAAGCTCCTGGCCCTTGCACTGTGTTTCCTTCTCCCTTTTCCCTGACTCTTTCTCTCCGCTCCCTCCTACCTTTCTTCTCCTCTTTCCCTCGCTTCCTCTTTTCTTTAATTTTTTTTTTTTAAAGTTTATTTCCTGTGTTTGGATACTTTGATTGTGTCTGTGCTCTAATTGCATGCAGTGTCTGCAGAGTCCGGAAGAGGGCACCAGATCCTCTGGAACTGGAATTACAGACAGTTAAGAGTTGCCATGTGGGTGCTTGGTATCAAACCCAAGTCCTCTGGAAGAACAATGGGTGCTCTTAACCGCCAAGCCATCCCCTTAGTGCCCTCTGTTCTTTCTATACCTCAATTTCTGTCTCTCTCGCTGCTCTGTTCTCCACACCCTCCTCTCTGGACATTTCTGTCTTTCCCTGTCTCTGGATCTGTCTATATTTTCTGTCTGTCTGTCCTGGCTTCTGCCTCTCTGCACACCTGGGTTCTCATAACCTATCCCTAAGGGAGTAGAGCAGATTCAAGGGGATTTCTGTAGCCTGGACTCAGTGAGACCAGGAAAAGTCTTTGACTCTAGAATAGTGGTTCTCAACCTGTGGGTCGTGACCTCTTTGGGGTCAAATGATACTTTTACAGGAGTTACCTATGACCGTCATAAATCACAGATATTTGCATTAGAGTTCACAACAATAGCAAAATTACAGTTATGAAATAAGTGTATGGTTGAGTGTCACCACAGCATGAGGAACTGTACCAAAAGGTCACAGCATTAGGAAGGTTGAGAACCACTATGCTAGAATCCCTGGAAGTGGAGTATCCCAGGGCCTCAGGCTGTCAGGCTCCCTTTTCATTCTTAGCCTCTGTAAAGTAGAAGAGGGAGATGAGAGTGACGGCGGGAGTGGGTGGTGAGCCCATTGGTTAGAAGCTCCTGAGCAGCTGACTGCGGGCACATCAGATTGTTGTCCCCACACTCTTCCCCATGCAGCTGCAATTCAGAGCTCTGAGTGGTGAGGCCCCCCTTGTCCTCTTCCACCCTCTGAGCATGCTCAGGTCTCATGTGAGGCTCAGGGACTGGCTTGGTTCAGAGCAGCTGCAGAGAGATGAATGAGTCACAGGAAGGAAAGGGCCTGGGTAAGTGGGTGGCTAGCATCCCTTGGAAAGTCCTCTTCATTTCCAAGAGGCCAGCTTGGGTCCCTACTAGGCCCTGAATCAGATTCTCCAACTTTTCAATGGTCAAGATCACTACTACCATCCTCATTGCAAGAACAACAGGACCCAGCTAGCCGAAGAGATAACTGATGGGGATTTGTTTCCCTGTTGGGGTATCTTCTGTGGTTTTCCCCAGGGCCCAGTAGACAAAAGGCACTATGTAGGGGATCCCTCCAAACAGTAACTCTGAAATGCCAGACTCTGTTCACCCTGGCTAAAATGCTGCATTATTGAACAGCTCCAATCTGCCCAATCTATGAAACCCAAATAGAAGCTGTAGGACCCACAAGAACCAAAGTCTTGAGACAAACATAAAATATGAACGGTTCTTCAAAGCTGTACCTCATAGAAGGTCTTAGAACCCACTACAGCCCTTCTGAGCCACAGCAAACTTTAGTCATTGGGTATGTGCCCAACCATGTCATCTCTCCAAGGCTCTCCCCAGCCCAGCCCAGTCTTTTTCTGTCCCATGCTCTTCATGGTGTGGCTTGATTTGGTCTCTGACATTTTGCAGGCAGGGAGGAAGGAACATAGCATTGGGAAATCCTAGATCTTAACTCTACCATAAGGGACAAAAGGGGCATTAATAGGCAGGGGGAGGGGCAGAACATCTCCTGCCATGATGACAACATCTCTCTTTTTCTCAGTACCAAACAGTAGACTACTACCCTCATTACCGCTCTGGAAGTCACTTTGGTCACAAAAAGCAGGTGCCACATAGTGATTAAGAACAAAGTCTCTACAATGGAATCCTGGCACTAGCTCAGCCAGCTGTGTGACCTGAGCAAGCAAACTACCTTTCTTTGCCTCAGTATCCTTTTCTGGGGGAAAAGAAAAAAAAAGAGAGAGAAGAAAAGAAATGTAGCAGGATGTTGTGGAGATCAGTCCATGGAAATTCATGAGTAATGTATGGAACGGATCTGATTCACAGATGCTTACTAAGTGTTCCCATTCCTTGCTAGTGTCCTTACCAGCTGCTCACCTGGTAACTCTGGAAATATATTCTGTTTGCCTGCTTAGTACCTCATCACTCTGGCACATCCCAGTGGCTGTTTAAATCAGTTTGCTTGTTGCTTTTTATTGAGGCAGGATAGAAAGACAGGAAAAATTAAGGGGCTATGAGAAGGGGAAGTTAAAACTTTTCACCAGCTAAAAGTCAAGAATTGCAGCACAATTGTCGTTTGCTGAAGATTGTCTATATAGAGACAGCATTCCCTTTATATAGAGATATTTCAAATAAGAATGTTAAAATAGCAACGAACCATGCTTAAGGCCTAAATATACATGGGCTTTGAGTATTGCCTGTCTCCTTTCCCAGCTGTAAGCCTGCAATTTTCTAAGAAAATTTTTAAGAAACCCCATGTACAAGGAGTATCTTAACCCCCTTGTTCAACTTTTCAGAGCCATAGTTTTATTTTATCAGATTGCAAGCCTACCCAAGGCATCCTAGGAACTACCCTGTGATTTCACTTACCAAAAAGAGTGATGATGGTGGCAGTATGTGGGTTTCTTAGCAACCCTTTGAGATGTAACTTGAGAGGCCACCAAAACAGCATAATATAGCTGCTGCTAAGACACTTAAGTGGAGTCTTCTAAGCTCAAGCTTGGGTGAATACTATCCATTCCCTGAGAACCATTTTTCTACTACCACCCTGTTCATATCTGTGTGAAAAATCTCTCCTTAGTGAGTTCCACCATTGCTTCACACTAGGTAGAGCGGAAATTCTTTACTGAGGTCCTTTCAAAGCTTCTGGCTTTACCAGTCTCCAAAATACTCTCCACAGGCTGCTCTAGGTGGCAGTGTGGAACTGCGTTTTTAGCCCCCACCTCATTGCTGCTGACAATATGGCCCAATGAGTCCATTAACACGCCCTGTTGTATTTTCTACCATCTCCCCAATTCTCAGCCATCTTCTTGTCAGTTTCACCATTTCTGCTACTTTTTGTCATATTCCCTTGTCACCTCCAAGTGTCCTCTATGGTGACCCCTAGCTCTCACCCTCACACTTCACCCTCCCCATGGATGAGGACACAGCCATCACATGCATGTGATCCTGATAAGATGGACCAGTGTGGAGGAGGGGACACTGAGGAACATGTACTCCTATTCAATTCTTTCTTAATTGCTTTTTAAATTTTATATGTATGTATGTGTGTAGTGTATTGTGAGGGCATTTGTGCATGTATGCATTTATGTGCATGTGGGAGCCTTGGAGGCCAAGGTCCATAACAGGTGCCTTTCACCGTCACTCTCCATCTAATTTATGTTAATGACATAAGGCCTCTCATTAAGCTCAGAGCTTACTAATTGACTAAGCTGACTGGCCATGTAGCTCTGGGGATTCTCCAGGCATGATCACCAGCTTTTATGTGGGTGCTGGGGATCTGTTATACCCTTATACTGGCCCAGCAGGCATGTTACCAACTGTGCCACCCCTTGTCTCTTTTTCTCATATTTTCACTGAGCTTCTCTGGGCTAGCCACTACTCCAAGGTTAAGAGACAAAATATCACTGGGTGGTGATGGTGCATGCCTTTAATCCCAGCACTCAAGGCTGGGGGATTTCTGAAAATTCAAGACCAGCCTGATAAACAGAGTGAGTTCTAGGTAGGCTAGGGCTACACAGAGAAATCCTGTCTGCTGGCAAAGGGAAACTTTCACCTAAGACCCCACCCCCACCCCCAGCCTCCCAGCAGTCGCTCTATCAGAACAGTGATAGAGGCAGCTCCCTGGCCTGAGGGTCTGAAGAAGTGTTCTATAAAGCTCTGCCTGACTTGAGGTCAGAACAAGAGGTAATCAAGTGGACTGGGTGAAGAGAGTGTCCCAAGTAGAAAAGTCTCAAGTGCAAAGGCCCCAGGGTAGAAGCAAGCCAGGAGAGTACAGAAGAACAAAGAGAAGGAACTTGGGGTCCCTCTGGGAATGAAGGAACTTCAGGAGCTAAATTATGCAGGCCGCTATAGTTCTTGGCTGGGATTTACTCTCCAACCCATGAGCTGTGGGGAGCCACGAGTTTAGGTACAAGGCAGTTGGGTTTGAATTTTAAGAAATAGTGGAGGCTGGCTAGGGTCAGATCAGCCCTCCTCAATACCAATTCCTCTGGCTTGAAGCCTGGTCCATTTCCCTCAGTCCCCGAGTTACCCTCTATCCAGCCCTCGTACACTGCCTTCCTAGCATTTATTTATTTTTTTGTGACAATGAGGTCATCATGTGGGAGGAGAGAGAGTTCCAGGCCTCTAAGCCTCCTTTATCTTGGTGAACTGGGATAGGGAAGGGGGGAGGAGAGGAACAGGCATGAAACACCTCCCTTCCCCCATCCCCACCCCCACATCTGGGCCCAGCTCCTGCCTCCCTAGGCTGTTGGCAGCATAGGTTGTATTATATACACATATTTTATGCAGTTTTATTGCAAGACATTTTATGAAGGTCATGTAGTACCACAGTCACAACAGAATCCCTCTGGGGCCTTGGGCAAGTCTCTTTCTGGGACTCAGCTTCTCTGTGCAGAAGTTACTGTTCAATAGAACTTTGTGCAGTGTGGGGCACATTTCATATCTGTGTTGTCCAATGTGAGAGCAGGGGCCACATGTGGCCGGGAGGCATCGCAATGTGGCTGATGAGCCAGAAGAACAGAGTCTGTGATCTAATTGTGACTAAAGAGGTTCTTGTGGTCACTGGCTACCGTGAGGGACAGCACAGGCTCTTAAATGTTTCAAGAATCTATAACACATGTGGAGTATCTCCAGACCCTAGAAAAACACACTGAACCCAGCCTCCTCCAGCCCTAGTCCTGTATCCCAGGCAGGTAGGATATAAGGCAAATTGGCTGCCTCATCCCCATCTTCTCTTCCCTTCTTTCTGTCTTGAACATGCAGAAATGGGACTTTCCCCAGAGGCAGAGGAATGTTGGTTATGACCTCAGGAAATAGTTTGTAGTCAGAACTTGTACCCAGCATAGTACATATCCAATAAGGCAAGATGACTGGGTGGGTGCAGAGTGGTCTCAGGAATGTTTGGAATCTGCTCAGTTCCCTGTTCTTCCTCCATACAAACCACTGTCCTGTCCCTGGGCCAGTACTTACTGGGGCACAGACTCTACAGAAACACGAAGCTTGCTTTGGAGTTGTGCCCTGGGCTTGAACTGTTTAAGAACCAGGGATTTGGGAGTAGCTGGAAGATGGGTGACTGTTTTCATCTGTTTGTGCTGCTATAACAAAACACCTTAGACTAAGTAATTTATGAACTATAGAAATGCATTTCTCATAGCTCTAGACACTGAGAAGTCCACCAAGGTCCTGGCAGGTTTGGTGTCTTGTGAGGACTTCTCTCTGCACACAAGATAGCGTCTTGGTACTGCATCTGCTGAGGGAAAGAAATGCTTGACTAAATGTGAAAAATGGGGCAAACTTGACAAGCCCTTTATACAACACAGATCCACTCCTAACCACTCTGGAAGACCCACTTCCTAATGTGATTGGTTAAGTTCAATTAGAATTTTGAAGACAGCACATTCAGACTATAGCAGAGACTAGGTTAGGAAGGCGGTTTCCCTCAGCCTCCGCTCAGGCCCTCCCTTGGGTCTTCAACTGTGGACAATCCAGTGACTGTCCTGCTCATTGAACCTACCTTCTGCCTGTCTCTTATCCCAGTGTCAGTTACTCATGCTGTCATTGTCTGAAGCATCTAAGGGACAGACTTTGGCCTCAGTCAGGAACACACAGGCCCAAGGATGCCCAGAGGATCCCACATCAAGGAAAGAAGCAGCAGTGTCCTTCTCACCATCAAGATCCAACTGCTCGGGACTGGTGAGATGGCTCAGAGGTTAAGAGCACCGACTGCTCTTCCAGAGGTCCTGAGTTCAATTCCCAGCAACCACATGGTGGCTCACAAGCATTCGTTATGAGACCTGGTGCCCTCTTCTGGTGTGCAGATATACATGGAAGCAGAATGTTGTATACATAATAAATAAATAAAATCTTTAAACAAACAAACAAAAAGATCCAACTGCTCCCTCTCAGGAAACTGTCACTGACCCTGCTACAGGGACAACTTTCCCTAAGAGTCATTTTTTACCCCAGATATCTGACTCTCCTCTCCTGTCCCCACCTGTCCCCTGCTCCCTGGTGTCTCAGCACCAGATCCCTTCCCCTCCATATCAAACAGCATCAGACTGCCTCCTGCCCTCTCTGGCTCCAGCAGAGAAACAGGACAGGTCAGATTCAGGTTCCCACGGCGACCAGATGGTGGAACACAGCAGGGGAACAGCCCATGGAAAACATCTTTTCTTAGACAATTCTTCTAGAGGTAGATAGAGTCTATGGCCAAAATTTAGGTGGAATCCCCATGGAAGATAGAGTTGAGGAAAAGGAAATAATGGCAAGGGAGGATGTCACACCGTGCAGTCTGGAGTATGGCTTCCATGAGCCCCAGAGGCTCCAAGTTCGCTCCCTGGAGCTCTGGATGAGACTTCTCCCTCCACAGGAAGCAAGGAAACACCTTGTGGTGCTCACATCTCTCACCCACCCTTTGCCTTCTGAGAGCAGTGCTTCCCACACAGTGAATGTCCCACGCTTCTGGGTTCTAGTGTATGGATTTTGGTATGCTTGGAAAACAAATTCTGCTCTTTGCTATAGCAACATTTCAGCTGATCCTGAAAGTGGACTGTGAAGATGTTTTGTTTTGTTTTCCCCCAGCTGGAAAGTCATCTGGAAAGAAGGGACCACCAAACTGGTCAGCAGGCAAGTCTATGGGGCAATTTCTTGACTAATGATTGATGTGGGAGGGTTGAGCCCTCTATGGGCAGTACCTCCCTGGTCAGGTGGTTCTGGGTGGTCTAAGAAAAGTAGCTGAGCAAGCCATGAGGAGCCAGCCCGTAAGCAAGACTCCTCTATGGCCCTGTTTTCCTTTATGATGACTGTAAGTTGTAAGATAAAATCAGCCCTTTCCTTCCTAAGTTGCTTTTGGCCACTGTGCTGCATAGTTTTATGTCAGCTTGACACAAGCTACAGTCATCTGAGAGGAGGGAACCTTAATTAAGAAAATGCCTCCATCATACCCAGCTGCAAGCCATTTTCCTTTCTTTCTTTTACTTACTTATTTTTTTATTATTATTTTTAAAGATCTTATTTATTATGTATACAGTCTTCTGCCTGCATGCCAGCAGAGGGCACCAGATCTCATTCAAGGTGGTTGTGAGCCACCATGTGGTTCCTGGG